GGATTATAGCCAAAATATTCATTAATATGAAATGTTTAAAATAACTAAGTACTTCTACAATGGGATACTATGCAGTCATATCATTCATGTGACTAGGCAAATTTATAGACAGAGAGTAGATTAGGGCTGGGCCTGAAAATAGGGATTAACTGTAACTGGGCATGAGAGTTCTTACAGGGGACTGAAAATGTTCTAAAAACAATTTATGGCTATGGTTGTACAACTTGCTAAATTTCCTAAAAATTCTTGGATTACATAGTTGAAATGAGTGCTATGTAAAATATATCACAATAAAGTTGTTAGGAAAACACATGCAAGCATTACATATACAAATAGAAAGATTTGAATTAAATGTGCCAGAATGGCTGCCTACAAATTGTGTTTATGTAGGGGAATAGCAGGGGGAATGAGAGTGGGGCTAAAAAGGAATTTATAAATTACTAAAGAAATTATTCTAAACAAGAGTCAGGTCTGCATGAAACAATGACATTTGTGAAATATGAACATATGATCAATCCTCTGCAAATGAGGTCTTAAACAAAAGTAAAGTACAATAAATATTTTTATATATTTAAAAAGAGAAGAAATAATAATTCCATCTCATTTTTGTAGACATTAAACTAAGTCATATAATTTAAAAATAAGTTCATGTAACCTAAATTTTTGTGATTATGCTACTTAAAAAGTATTTGAAATGCAATGAATACTCTAAAACCCATTAAGTTTTTTTTCTTAGTTAAAATTTTTTTATTATGTTAATCACCATACATTACATCATTAGTTTTTGATGTAGTGTTCCGCGATTCATTGTTTGCATATAACACCCAGTGCTCCATGCAGAACGTGCCCTCCTTAATACCCATCACCAGGCTAACCCATCCTCCCACCCCCCTCCCCTCTAGAACCCTCATAAAACCCATTAAGTTCTAAAGCAAGAGAAAAACATAGAATTAAAAAAAGACAAGTATACCGTGAATGTTGTGGGCTAAATATCTTACTACTTCCCAACACCTTGTTAGATATCCATGACACTATGATGAATTATAGAAAAGATAGTGATAAAGAAACACTGACCTTTAAGGACTTGGTAACAACAGAAAGGCATTTTTTCCCAAAGTGGGAAATCATGACATACCATAAAATCATTAGTCCTACAAAAAGTTCTGCCTAAAAAGGGCTTTTTTGTCAAATAAATTTAGAAATACTGCACACATATCCCCCCACTAATGTATCCACAATATATTAACATATTAAAGTCTCTAAGAACAAAGTCTCCAAGACTTTTAAAGAATAAATCTGCTTTAATTAACAAATACACAAAATCCTTGCCTCATACAACATGTTTTCATATTAAGAGGAATATACACTTTAGAAAATATTTCACTAAATAGGTTATTTGCTCAAAAATTCATTCAACAAATACCTACAGAACACTTATAATGGGCCAGCCCCTATTCTAGGTGCTTAAGATTTCAGCAGTAAAAAAAATTCCATGACCTCACTGAAATTTACCTTATAGTGGTATCACAAGTTCTACACATGTTTTTTCCTATTATTTTACATGATAACAATGCCAAATGGGCATAAATATTAATACAGAAAAAAACTGAGAAAAGCAAGTAAGTATCTGCAATAATGTGTTTTGGCAGGATGGGTGAGATGAACTTAATTATTTTCTAAATAGACAGCAACTTAAAGGCCAATGGATTATAGCCAAAATATTCATTAATATGAAATGTTTAAAATAACTAAGTACTTCTACAATGGGATACTATGCAGTCATATCATTCGTGTGACTAATATGGAAAACAAATTTAAAAGAACTGCAGAAGATTACGTATGTACAATATGATTTCATTCGTTTAAAAAAGGATTCTCTAGAGACAGTCTTTTAAATATAAATTTATTTGATAGGAATAGAAAATTACTGAAAAGACAAAAATTTTAACAATGGTTAGTTATCTCTAAGGAGCTAGAATAGATGGTATTACCTTTATGTATTAATTCATGCTTAATAAAAAAGATCATATATAACTTTTATAATGAGGTAAAACAAGGGGCACCTGGGTGGCTCAGTTGGTTAAGCATCTGCCTTTGGCTTAGGTCATGATCTCAGGGTCCTGGGATTGAGTCCCACATCTGGCTCCCTGCTCAGGGGGAAGTCTGCTTCTCCCTTTCCCTCTGCCTCCTCCCCCCTGCTTGGGCTCTGTCTCTGTCTCTCTCTCAAATAAATAAATTCTTTAAAAATTTTAAAAAATGAGGTAAAACAAATTTTAAGACTGACTGGTAAGTATTTCCAGGCAAAGCAATTAGAGCTGAAGGGAGGTTGGGAGTGGTATGATTTTTTTCCTAGGTTTGAGAAAATTTAACTGAAAAAGGACAAAGCATCACTCTGTAAACAGTGGTTAGGAAAATACTGCAAAATGAGGAGCTTTGGGGTGATTAGGCACTTTGAAACAAAGGATTAAAAAAAAGACTTGATTGATAGGTTTGTCTTCTGTGACTACTACAGGAAAACAAGATACCTAAGAATAAAACTAAAGCAGTTACCTCTGAAAAAAAGCTGAATAAGGAGGATTTGAAGTGTTTAAGGATCACCCTCTCATTCCAAAAATTTAATGTAGCAAGTAAATACCATTTTTTTCTGATTAGAATTATTAAAACTGTACTTAAAATTGAAAATTACCTTTCTTATAAGGTGGTTTTCAGTATCTGCTACGTAGATGATATTATTCCTTATGGCTACACCCTGTGGTGAATTAAAAGTTGACTCTGAAAATATTCCATCTTTTCTTCCGGGGTTGGGTCCTAAAAGAAAGATAGCCACAAGACAATTTTTTTCCACTTAAAAAGTTATCTCATAGTAAACCCCCCCAAATATTTTTTTTCCTTTATTTTCTTTTTATTGTATCTATAGGGGAAGATGGATGTTAGCTGAACCTCTTGTGGTAATCATTTTACAACATAAATAAATCAAACCAAAATAAATAAAATTTGTATTTAAAGCTGGGATTTTAATATAAATAGCAAGACACTTTCACCTAAAAACAATTTCCCAAGATACGTTTTTCTCAAGAGTAAGTTTTGCTAATGAAAGGGCTTACTGGATAATGGTTACTTTAGGAGCATATATCAGAAGAGAATATATTTTTTAAACTATCTTAATTATCTATTACGTAGACTAGAAAGAGTTAAAAATAATTTTAATCTTTTCACATCTAGATGAATGATTTTTAACAATTTTGGAAGATATACTCCTTTGATAATACATTGAAAATTATGAACACTTTCCTTAGAAAAATATATATACCCATAAGATGTCACAAACAATTTCAAGGGGTTCCTAGATCCTGAGGGCCATTCAAGCATTTTGTAATAGTCTACGTACCCCAGGTTAAGAAACCTTCATATTTACTATTTCACTTTGCCACAAAGTTCTATAATATCCTATAAACACTTGGAGAGACAAAGAGAGATTCTGGTCTAATGGCCTACTTCTCAGCTTCTCTAATAACAGGCAGAGTTTCAAGGGTGGAGAGTACACAACATAAAAACGTAACTGTTATTTCTATGACCAGACAATAAACCATTCAAAGCCTCTAAGTCAGCACTCCCAAACTATGCTTTGCAGAACTCTGCTGTCCTAGATGTTAGAGAAGTAGTATAATGTAGTGGCTAGGAACATGAACTCAAGAATCCAAGTGACTTAGTTTAAGCTCTACCTTTTCCTAGCTGATGATCTAAACAAGTTCTTTATATCTCAGTTTCTCTTCTGTAAAATGGAACTAATAAATACCTACCTCATAGCATTGTGAGGACTAAATTAATACAGGTAAAGTGCTTAGAATAATGCCAGGCATATATATGTTTGCTATTATTACTATTATTAATAATACTATTATTGTTGTTAATGGGAGTTCCCTATGGGAAAAAAGGGAGAGTATCATGGTCCCTTTAGATTGGAATACATTGTATAGTATAACCTCTCTTGAATATTCATGAAGTACACAAGCAGAGTAAAAGATGGAGGAGTACAGTGACACCACCACCAACCAATGTCTCTTAAACAGATCTAACCAATATTTCCTAATTGTATCTGACCATAGAATTTTTAAAAATTATTGTAGAATAACTTTTAATTTATCACAAGATACCACTATCCCTAAAAACATGTTTGGGAAAGGTAGCTTGCTGCTGGTTTTTCTGTTTAACAAAGGAAAATATTCATTTACAGCATTCTGAAAGCTATACCATTAAAAACCTTTTAACCATTTAAATCAACCTACTACAACGGGTAATTTTTAAGCAACAATTCTTAAAACTGCCTGTCATCAACCCAAACATCAAGTTGCTGAAACAAAAGAAACATAAAACACATACTCTAACAAAAACGAAAAAGAAATGTGAAAAATTCAAGAGCTAGGGGAACAATATCTAGGCATCCTAAGAATAGCACCAGGGCTTAGGAATAAGACTAGTTTATTTGCATTAGGAATGCAGATACCCCTACTTTATGTACTAATGCTGCATATGTTACTAAAGCAGGATTGCAAAGAGATGAATTACTCTTCTCTTTGACTGTTACTGGATGTCAATTCAGTCTGAGTAATCAGGATTAAGAAGAATGTACTTAACAGATTTTATTGACTATGTAGATGTCAATAAGAGCCTGTTTTAGATCTAAAACCAGGGTGATAAATTTCAATTTTTAACACATTTCCTTGAGCTATTTTTTTTTTTACTATAAATTATGTATCATAGTTAGAAGCAAACTTTACCTCCAATGCTGTACTGAATTTGTCCATTCTTCCAGACGACCAAAATTCTATGATGTCCAGTGTCTGCTATTACCAATCTATTAGAAACATGGTCTACTGTTACTTTGCCAGGGAACAGCAATGGTGAAGGTGGCAAAGAATCTTTATAGAGTTTTACTTCAATTTTATTATCTCTGATCTGTCCCTTGTCTTTGTAATACTTTAAAGCTATGGAAGTATATAAAAATAATTTATCTTTGTGTCCCTCTCCAATCAAAGAAAATAACATATTTCCACGGGGTCCAAGTATGACCAGAGTTGGCCAGCAGGAAATTTCTAGTTCTTGCCAAAGACTGGCATCTGCATCATTAACCACAGGGTGGGTGATGTTGTATCGAAGAACAGCGCTCTTAATGTTATCCAGGACTTTTTCATTTGGAAACTTAGCCGAGTGAACACCAACAATCAGAAGACCATCTAAATGGGAAAAATTATAAGTTAAACGTTATAAAGTATTAAAGTTTGAATGTCACCATCCACACATTAGGTTATGGGTCATTAATAAACAGTCCAGAGTTTTTATTTTTTTAAAGGGCAGAACTAAAATAGTGTTTTCAACTGCATTTAAACACACATATAAAAAAATTAACATTTAAATCTCATGACAATCTTGATAACTACATAAAAATACATATGATCAAAGTCATGTGGCTATTTCAGGACTGAACCTCTTTGTGTCCTTTATCTAGACAAAGTTTTAAAAAACACATTAACTTCTTACAGAGATACTGAAATACTGTTATTATTTCCCCACCTATTATAAGCCCCTTTGAAATTCATAGTGACTACGACTGCTTTTTGCTAGTATTTATTGTCATATTATCCTCTTAGATTTTTCTGGCCTACCTACATTACAGATTAACAGAACAAATATAAGCAAGATCTTTCTATAATACAAGTTCTTTGATTTATTTAAAATTCCTACTATATGGTTCTTAAAACAAGCCTTAATTGTAGATGACAGAACTACTAAAAACTAAGAACAACATATTTCTTTTACCTAATCAACACAGTATGTCAAAAAGATGATACAGGGAAAAAAAAAAAGCGTTTGGCTGGATTCAGAGAAAGAACTCAATATTGACTACCAAGGTAACAGGTAATAATGGCTATGTAAATGACAATTTCAAAAACTATGCACATCAGCATGAAGAAAAAAAACCCACACAAATTAGGGGGTGTAATTTCCTGATAGCCCATCCTTCCATTTGTAACTATTAACTCCCAACAAAACACATACATCACACACATACACATACAGCCCCCCTAAGGACCCAGAAAAGTACACAAAAGCAGGTACACTGTTAGCAGGGGGTCAAAACTTGGAGATGCCAACCCTGAAGGGGAGTTTCCAGTTTTCTTTTCTCCTTCATGGCTTTGCACTGAAGGTGGGCCCCAGTTTGTAAGCAATGCAGGTGGCGAAAACAATGGAAACCCCTTCCTGGCCCAAGGAGCCAGGGAGACTGGAGGGTGTGGGGGAAACTCCAAGGGGAAGAGAGCCAGAGAAGGGGACTCCCCATTTCTGAGTATGAACACTCACAAGTCTTGGCTCAACTCCTAAACTATACATGTGTGAGGCAGGCCTACAACAGTACAACCAAGGCTTAAAGAACCAAGAATTGAATTGCTGAGCTGATGAAAGGAGAGCAGAGCTGACAGAAGATGAGACAGAACTTAAGAGTCTGAACCAACAAAGTTGAATATCTATGAAAACAAGTGACAGATACCAGCACCAAAATAAAGCAGAAGTATAAATTAGTAGACAAAGACTTTAAAGGAACTATAACTATGCTCCAGGAGGTAAAGAAAAACATGCTTGAAATGAATGAAATGATAGGAAATACAAACAGAAATAGAAACTATAAAAAAGAACTAAATGAAAATTTTAGAACTCAAAAACACTATATTTAAAATAAATTCCCCGGATGAGCTCAATGGTAAAAAAGAGATGACAGAGAAAAGAGTCAATAAACCTAAAAATAGCTCAATGGAAATTATCCAATATAAAGAACACAAAGAAAGAAGACTGGAAAACAAAAATGAACAGAACCTCAGGGACCTGTGGAACAGCTTAAATGATATAATGAATGTAGATTTGGAATCACAGAAGAGGACAAAAAGATTCGGCAGAAAAAAATATTTGAATAATACCAAAACTTCCAAAATTCGACTGAAGACATAAATTTATAGAATTCAAGAAATTCAAGAATTCAAGAAATTCACTCCAAATAGGATAAATTAAAAGAAAATCATGTTTAGGACTCACCATAAACTCCGAAAACCAAAGATTAAAAACCAAACCCCACCAACATTTTTAAAGAAGATACACACAAAATTGACACTGATCGGTGGTTGTTTAGGCACTGGGAAGAAGGGTGGTGGGGAGGAGTGGGAAGGATTATACACTTAAAATATGTGCAGTTTACTGGGTGTCAATTATGCAACAATAAAGTTTTTCCAAAAAAAAAAATCATTAGCTCTGGAGTCATACTCCCTGTAATCAAATTCTGGCTTTTACCACTTGCTGAGTTACTTTGGGCAAGTTACTTAACCTCTCTGGGCATCAGTTTTCTTATTCATAAAATTGGGAAAATAATAGTAACTGCCTCATAGGTCAGTTTTCAGGATTAAAAGAGATAATCTGTATAAGACATTTAGCATAGTACCTAGTATACTGTAAAAGCTCAACGAATGTTTACTATCTTTTTTAAATTTGTAAGTACAAAGATAACCAATAAAAGAAAAATACAACTTTTTCTAACTAAAGCAATTAGTAAAATAAAATAGCAAAGAAAATACATCGTTTGAAGAAACACAATAAAAGCTAATACATATAATGATTATGCATAATAATCATAAGTAAATATGAATGGACTTAACTATTAAAAGAAAAAAACTTGGATACATTCTGTATATCAGAAATACAGCTAAAACAAAGTTAACCAGAAAAGCTAAAAATAAAGGGGTAGGCAAATGTGCACCGGGCAAACAAAAGCAATACAAGGTCATGATCCTAATATTAGACAAGGTAGATTTTAAGCCCAAAAGCATTAAACATGACAAATATTTTAATGCAAAAAGCATTCACAACATGGACAAAATAATAGGATAAAACAGTAATGAATATCCATGTACCAAGTAATAAAAGAAGCAACTTAATAAAACAGAAAACACACTGCTCTCAGTGTGAACCAGATCAAGCAGACACAAAATAAGATAAAGCCTAATTAACATAATCAGTGAGGTAGCCCTTATTGATACATATCAAACTGTACTGTGATAATATACTTTCCTCTGAAGTATATATGGAGCATTTATAAATACCGATCACGCCAAGAAAGCATTATAAAGAATACACTCTAACCACAATACAATAAAACTGAATATTAGTAACAAAAAACAAAAGGTCTTTTTTTTTTTTTTTAAGTAGCCTCCACACCCAGTGTAGAGCCCAATGCGGGGCTCGAACTCACAACCAACCTTCAGATCGAGACCTGAGCTGAAATCAACAGTCAGACACTCAACCGAGCCACATATGCACCCCAAAAGGCCTTTTGTTTAGGAAAAACACACTATTTGTGTGTTTCTCCTTTACTCTCACAATACGACCACACTCAGAACACTTGAGACACCAGAAATATGGTTTTTTTCCCCACATTAGGCAACTGTCTGTGACACTGCGTGGGTGTCCCATGATTCAATTCTGATTCTAACCAGAGTTAGTGCAGGCACCATAGGAGGGCTCAATCCCACAAGCCTGCCACTTTAGATGCCAATCACAAGTAATAGGGCCCCAGGTTATCCTCAACTTCTGTTGGACTTGTCTACAAATGAGAGATTCCTTTGACTCTTCTCTTGGATTCAATTATTTGCTAGAACAGCTACAAAACTCAAGGCAACAGTTAGGTTTATCAGTTTATTATAAAAAGATATGATAAAGGATACAGATGAACATCCAAATGATAGAGATGCACAGGTCAGGTTGTGGGAATGGGGGTGGAGCTTCCATGCTCTCACCAAGGCCTCCACTCTCCCAGCACCCTCCTGTGTTTACCAAGTTGGAGGCTCTCTGAACTCCATACCTTTGGAATTTTTATGAAGGCTTCATCACATAAGCATTATAGATCATTGACTCCATTTCCAGCCCCTTTCCCTCTCTGGTAAATGGGGAGTGGGACTGAAAATCCCAAGCTTCTAATCATGGCTTATTCTTTCCTTCTGGTGATCAGTTCCCATCCAGAAGCCCACCAAAGGTCACCTCAGAATAAAACACAGTTAATCTCCCAGGAAATTCCACGGGATTCAGGAACGCTGTCAAGAATTGGGGTCAAAAACCAAATATTAAAACAAATGATGCCCTAGTGCTCTTATCACTTAGGAAGTCACAAGAATTTCAGGACCTCTGTGCCAGGAACCCAGGGCAGAAACCAATATATATATTTTCTATCATCTCACACCTTTCCACTAAGAAATTTAAAAACTCTCTATCAACTTGACAGAAAGCTGAAACAGAAGTCAAAATTACAGAATTTCTAAAAAATAATGAAAACACTAGAAGAAAATTCATAGTCTTCAATTCAGAGCCTTAAATATTTATATCAAAAATTAAAATAGATAACTACCCTGCTATAAAAATCTAGGAAAACACACAAAAGACCTCGAATAGCCAAAGCAGTCTTGAAAAAGAAAAACAGGGGTGCCTAGGTGGCTCAGTTGGTTAAGCATCTGCCTTCAGCTCAGGTCATGATCCCGGGGTCCTGGGATTGAGCCTCACATCAGGCTCTCTGCTCAGTGGGGAGCCTGCTTCTCCATCTCCCTCTGCCTGCTGCTCTGCCTACTTGTGCTTGCTCTCTCTCTGTCAAATAAATAAATAAAATCTTAAAAAAAAAACTAAACTGGAGGTATCACAATTCCAGACTTCAAGTTATACTACAAAGTGGTAGCAATTAAAACAGTATGGTACTGGCATAAAAATAGACACAAAGACCAATGGAATAAAAAACCCAGAAATAAACCCATAATTACATGGTTAATTAATCTTCGACAAAGGAGGAATGAAATGACAATGGGAAAAAGACAGTGTCTTCAACACATGGTGTTGGGAAAACTGGACAGCTACATGCAAAAGAATGAAAGTGGACCAATTTCTTTCACTATACACAAAAATAAACTCAAAATGGATTAAAGACCTAAATGTGAGATCTGAAACCATAAAAATCCTTGAAGAGAACATAGGCAGTAATTTCTCTAACATCAGCCATAGCAATGTTTTTCTAGATATGTCTCCTGAGGCAAGAGAAATAAAAGCAAAAATAAACTACTGGGTCAACATGAAAATAAAAAGTTTCTGCACAGCAAAGAAAACAATCAACAAAACTAAAAGGCAACCTGCCAAATGAGAGAAGATATTTGCAATG